TCGCTTATAACTTAAAAACTGTCGGCTTCTAAGAAAAGTTAGTGAGGATTGTTTGTGTCCAGATTAATCCAAAAAACTTACACCAGTTTTCTCAATAACAAAATAAAAGTGATCATGGAAGAATCATGTCGTAAAGTCTCTGCCATGAATGTGAGGTTTTCTTCTCAATCCGGCAGATACAACGTCCAGACAAGACGATGATCAACATTCTTCTTCTTTGCCTTTAGCAGTCTATGCAACAACGTTTATTACTGAAATCAGATGGATGTAGAACGGTAATTAGCAATTTGGATGAAGATTTAGCTGAGAGACTTCTTCTCCACCTTTCCTTGGAGAGATATTTGTTTTGCTGACGCGGATGTGTCGGCTGTCTGTTCATCGATAACTAAAATTATCGGCGTTGGGTGGAGGAATACATCACTCATACAGTGAAAGCGCCTAAGCCAGGGTGCAATGGCTGGATCAATAAATCGTGCGTACTTTGTGGCTGAGCATAAATTACGCCAAAAATATCTGTTATCACATACATCAAATATGGGACAAACGTTCTTATTCTCACTTGATTTATAATCTATATGGCTCAAGTGTTTTCGGTTTTGAAACAGGATTTCCGGCTGTTATGGACGATTCCAAGCATTTAGTTCGCCTGTCTCTCATTAGAGAACATTTTTGCTCTCATATAAAAGGAAAGATTTTCGTTCGACAACATATTGTGTTCTGATCTTACGTAAGTAACAATCATATTATTAACTTATCACTCTTTAATGACACGTTTGCTTTTGATTTTTTGTCGCAATTGGAAATTAATACGAAAAGATACCGCCGAGACCTTTTGAATATTTTTGCTTCAATTCAGAATGTTGTATCTCTCAACATGTTGAAGAAATGTATCAATGGACCCAAAGTTTTTCCATGACTAGTTTCCTTGATACAAGATCTATACATTTGACAATCCAATTCCTAATTCAGTTTAATGTAGGTTTATTGTCCAGGTTCGTAACAAGCTCGGGTCGACGTTTCTTAAACTTCTTATACATATCACGTACATATATGCTGATTGTAAAAAGAAATCGTTGAAAAGAATATTTAGTAAAGAAGGCTCTTTTAATGATAAATACCTAAGACATATATGATACAAATAAAGCTGTGTTTTATTTGACGACCCTACGGAGATAAAGAAGCACGTAGGTCTATCCAAAAATGTCATCAAGCTATAGGCGCTTATCAAAGATGCAACGTTATTATCCAGGCTATTAGTCGAACACCCTGTATAATTCTAAATATTCAAGAAACGTATTCCTACAGGGACGGTGCAGGATAATCTTGAATGGTTTTTTGAAAGTTTGTGTCTCGGTGCATGCCTATTATTGAAGAAAGCCGAACAAATTAAAGTGTAGGTACTTCGAAAATTTTGCAATACAGCTTTATTTATTAACTTTGTTCAAAGTAATTTCCAAAACAGTCAATACATTCTCCATCCATCACAACCAGTCATTAAACCAGCTTTGCCAGGTTTCACCTGGAAGTGCGGCAGCCTCGTTGTTCCAAGCCGTCAGAAGGTCCTTACCGTTAGAAAACCGTTTTCCATTTATCTTCAGTTTCACATGCTGAAACAATGCAAAGTCGCAGGGAGCAAGATCTCGACTGTAAGGAGGGTGCTCAATAAGTTTCAGTCCGGAAGTGGTCAACTACTCGGTGCAGGCTTTAACGCGATGAGCTGGAGCATTGCCATGGTGGAGGTTTCAAGTTCCCATTCTTGATTTTGGCCGCAGGTTTTTCATAGAATCTATGACTATGACAGACCCTGTTCCATGTACCACTGAACTGTGACTGTCTGCTGTGTGTCCAAAGCGACACGATCCACAATCCGCTCCATCTGAAAATACATTTTTACTTAACAGATCGGGATTTTCTGACAACTAAGATTGTGTCCTCATCATCAAAGACCAAAACATTGTTTTGAGCCTTAACCGGCACATCGTAATAATAGAGCCAGGTCTCTTTACCTATTAAGATGCTGTCCACATACCGAGACTGCCCCTGATCAAACATTTTCAGCATGTTTCGGCACCAAGTCGTCCTGCTGTGCCGTCAGACTATGCGGTACCCAGAGAGAACAAAGTTTCCTTACGTATAAGAGATTCATGCAGAATTGAATGAATTTCTGACGCATGAAGGTGCAAGGTCTCCTCTATCTGTTGGTATGTTACTCTCCGGTGTTGGTCAAGCATTTCCCTCACAGCAATAATGTCTTCCTCTGTTACCGCTGTTCGCGGTCCTGCCTTCCTCTCAGCGTCCCCCAGAGTGAATTGCCCCTTTGGAATTCTCGGCATCACTTGACTATGGTCGTGCGATGGGGACAATCATTCTTTAATGCGAGCATCATTTCTTTAGGGCACTGGTCTATGCTTAAACTATGAGTAAAGTTATACCGTAAAACTGCCCCAATCTGACTACGTGACCACGATGCCATACACTGTCAAGACGAATGAACAACTAAATCAACAGACGTGCTGCCGGCGGTTACTATGCACTCATGGACATGTCTCAACACGCATTAACATGCAGCCTCTTGCGTCCGTTGTTAAGTCATATTACAAAACTTTTATAGTACCCTTCTATGTTTACGAGTATGTACTCTTTCGCGGCAGTTTGGATGTAAAACGCAATTTTTTTTTCTCCTGGTATGTTCGCTTCGCCCGGCTTTCCTCTAATAACGAAAAGACAAGTAAATGTCAATACTTGAAATCTTTCAAGTACTACCAGTGCTTCTGATGAACTAATTCATTTTTCTTGGTATTTTAGAAACATGAAGTCCTTGGTTGTAGTTGCTGCTTTGGTTCTGGTAGCTTGCGCTTCTTCTATTAAAGAAGAATGGCAGCAATTCAAGGTAAGCTTAGAATGAAATTACTTTAAAGCTGAACAAGACTTTTACCCGTAATCGATAGGAATGAACTCTATTAGAAGAAACATTCACAGATAAAAGGCTGATCAAAGCTCAAAACAAAGACTATAAGTTTTCCAACCTAAAAGAGTCCTTAAACGTCCGGTCTAAAATTGCTAGTCATCGATGAAAAAACAATGTAGCACTACAGCACATTGGTCAGAGGTCAAGTGCAAAAGTAGCGCTGTTGCTTAAATTTGCCACATTCCTATGGATTGATAAAAACATATCCCATATTCCTGTACTTGTTTCAATTCAATATTCCAACATTTTACGTGCGATTGAGATACCTATTGATATTTTTATCACCTGCTGATATAACAGAACCCCGTTTGCGCAATTTGTCTATAGGCAGTCTGGAGACGGTCTCATGTCCACGATCTATAGATAGTCTATAGACATCCTCTTTGTCTCGTCTAGCGTCCATACGATAATGTGAATTTTTCGGTCTCATGTCGTTTCCACCATCAACGACATTGTTTATGTGGAATGGACTGACTCTAGACGTCGAGTGACGTGTACACTCTCGGAATGTGAACGTATGTACATTCTGATCGCACGGGTATCAGGTATCTTAAAAATTGAGATTATATCGATTTTTTTTGACATTATGTAGATTTTTCTCCAAGATGTTAACTTAACCCTTAGTTGTACTTGTAGCCTAACCTTCATGAGGCTTTTAGTTATCAATGTACGTTACTGGAGTCTAAGCTGTAGTTGTGTGGTTGATGATAATTCCATTGGATTCTTGTCTCAAATTCACTTAATCGAGATTCCAAAGCTAGAAATTAGTTCCGCAGCCACTTTTTCTTATACATTCTGGAAATTACATATACAAATTTTCTGAATTTCAAAAATGAGATAGATCAGAAATAATTATATTCTCTGTACACTGTGGAAGTACAAGCCATATACATGCTAACAGTAATTACACACAACACTGGCACGATGATGATTTCCCGTAATTCTCCGTAATTTATAACTTTGAACATAACTTCTCTCAAGTAAGCACAACATAAAAATAACCCGTCAGGCACAGTCAATAGATATACTTCATTGGCAGCTTATTCAGTAATGATTTTTTCACACAGCAAATATCACTGATTTTAACACATGCGGAACAATACACATAATCATCCAGATGTGATATTGCTATTCAACCAACTTTGTTCTCAGAGATAAAAACTACAGACACTGATCACCAGGCCCCACAAAACTATGCAACCGATAATGCGTGTAGTTTAGTTGAGTGATTCCTCCATAGATGGACGTTCACAACGATCCTATTGAGCAAACGTGAAATGACTGCTTGCACCCTAAAAACTACCTAGTCTGCAAGTTGACATCTTATAGGTTTTTTTTTTAACGTTTTGCGAGAGGCTATAGACGTGTGATTTTTGGTCTCACATCAGTTCCCTAGACGGGGCTTGGTTTATGGACATGTCCACATAGACATCCTGAGACTTGTTTCAGAGGCCAAAATCGCACAACATGTCTACCAGTTCTGAGGATTTCCTAACGCTTTCCAGTTGGCATTGGCCAGATAGACCCCATTGGATTTACGGAGCAACAATAGGATAAATTTTAGAAGTTGTACTTAGACTGTAAAATTATCAGCCCCAAATATCGTTTACGCCCCACTAGACTAGACGAAATCCTGGTGCATCCTGTAGTGGTTATTACGCAAAATGGTGAAACTGTCGGCATCAAATTGTAATCCGCGCTTTAAAAATCTCGTTGCGTGTTTTCAGCTGATCCATGGTAAGACCTACAGGAGTTTGGTAGAAGATAAAAACCGTTTCTCAATTTTCCAAGACAACGTGCGTATGATCCAAGAACACAACAAAAAATACGAGTCGGGCGAGGTGAGTTACGCTATGAAGGTAACACAGTTTGCCGACATGACCCAACAAGAGTTCCTGGACCTGCTGAAGACCCAAGGCAAAGCTGACCGACCAAGAAATGCACTAGAATTTGATTCCACTGGTATTGAGATAAAGACTGCAATTGACTGGAGGAAAAAGGGTGCTGTGACAGCTGTCAAAGATCAAGGTCAATGCGGCTCATGCTGGGCTTTCAGTGCTGTATGTATATTTTCATTCCCTTTAAGCAGCTTCTTGCGTCCTTTAAGCGTCACGTACGTCAGCCCTTGCTTAAATTGGCAAAAAAACATTATTCGACTCGTATAGCAAACGTCGATAGCTACTATACCTACAGGTCGCAAGCACTCACCTCGTATATTTTGGGAGAAACGCTCGGACACGTCAATTTTGATTTCTTGGGGCACGTCTTTTCATCTATAACGGTACAATACATGGTGATCCAAAAAGATATAGCGTTACACTTTAGATTTTTAAATGGAGAGCCCCATTTTTGGGGCAGTACGACGCTTTTGGACACCCATTTCCCAAATCAGTGGATCGGCAGACGAGTGGCCGTTGAGATCACCGGTCTCAAGTTCTTTAGATTAGTTTTTTTGGGGACATTTGAAAGTTAAGTTTTTAGTACGAAGCCAGATTCCATTCAAGATTTTGGTATTACGGTTGAATGTAGACAAATAAGTCAAGACATGATTGAAAATGTGAGGAATAGATTTGAACAAAATCTTTATTATTGCATGGAGGTAAATGGGTACGACTTTCAGCCCTTATTACCACATCAAATTAATTTTTACTTTAACTTTAATGTGCGTGGAAGCTGTAAGTTTTTTGTTTTTTTAATACTTGGAGACTTGTTTTTAATTTTAGGTATGCAAACCATATGTGTACGATATAATTCCTTATCATAATTTCTAGAATTCTATTATAAACCCAAATAGCTTCACAACGATTGAAGACAGGTTCAAAAATATAGGATGTAACGCATTATCTTATTTTTGGATTGCCCTGTATTGTACGATTATAGATGAAAAGACGTCCCCCTAGAAATCATTCTTTTTCGTTGGGCCACCCTGTATACGTTTGTCATTTTGGATTTCAAACTATTTCGTCATTATCCTTCAAACATGTCAGTATTATACGAGTACACTTAGCGTGCAACAAGTTCAAACTTCACTATCGGCTTGGGAGTTGCACAGATGACTATGGTTGGAAGATGCATGCCAGAGCCGCGAATATAGACTAGATCTTTTGTCGTTGTCAAAAGGTTATCAATCAACGAATCTCAGAACTACATCAGGAATAACATAGCACCGGAAGCAAAATTGAATAGTATCATGATCTTGCTGACGAAACGTTCTCGCATCTGACCTTTCGCTGCGCAATTTCTTGTGCTTCTACTTGTAGTGTAATCATATTAGCGAATTTCCCCGAACGTCTGCCTTTATTGGTGCAAGTTGTTCAAGGGGGTATTTAAATAGTGGACGCATAAAATGGGTACACCAAGTTTTGTGGAAAACATTTTTATTTGACAACAAAGAATGGGAAAACGGGTTTTTTGGGATTCAATCGAAACTGTTGACAGGTATGAAAAAACTTTTCATATAAGATAATAGATATTCATAATACCTACAAAATTAAACTACACGTAATAAGATCCGACTAATAGCAAAAATGTTATGGCCGAAAAACGAGGCAAAATGCAGGTTTTGGCACTTGTTGACAATGCGACGGTAATTTCGCGAAACTACTTGAAATCTGCTTCAAATCCGTAGGATTCATACTTTTGCAACAAAACTTGAGTATATGGGTCAAGTAGTTTTTTGAGAACATCTAGTTGTTTGTCCCAAAACACCTGTTTTCCGACCATCACTACTAGTTTACTGAGCAATATACAGGTACATTCAAAGAGCATTTAATAGCAATATACACGTGTTTACCTTGCCCATATTAATAACGAATGATTCTGGAAGATAAATGTTATTTTTATGCGAAAAACAAAGTTTACGTTTTTTTCTTCTGAACAAATTCAAACATTTCGTATTTGAGAGTAATTGAACAAATGCGCTACGATATTCGAAAAACATACGTTACTATATACATTTTAAGACAAAGTCGATGTGTCTATCATCTTTTGCTGTGAATTACTCACAAATACGAAATGTCTTAATTGGTTTAGAAGAAAAAACATAACCCATCCTTTTTTGCATAAAAATAACATTTGTCTTCCGGAATAGTATGCGATTCATATCGGCAAAGTACACTAGTGTATTTAGCTATAAAATTCCCTTTGAACTAACCCTGTATATTGCTCAATAAACTAGTAGTGATGGACGGAAAACAGGTGTTTTGGGATAAGCAATTAGAAATTCTCAAAATTACTTGACCAATCTACTCCA